AGGGTTTTTCTCCGGATTTTCCGGTTTTCCTCCCTCCACGTAAACCAACATCTCTAAATTCCAACTCGACCAGAATAGAGGACCCGCAGGAAAACCAGCTAAGGCTGATGTGGCTTAATCTCTAATTATTGTAATTCAAAATTTGTATACTTCATCCCAGCCTGAGGTCGCCTTGCATGAACTAATTGTTTCAAAAAGTACATCTGGGCACTTATCGTATACATTTACCTTTAGAGGTGTTACCCCCATATCAAATTACAGCTTGTAGAGCTGGTTATCAAAGTATACCCAGAATTTTTGAATTGTCGAATTTCTCACGACCTCTACAATTTAAGCGTCCGAATCACTTTTTAATTAACAAATAAAGAAACCTCGACTGTGCTCTGCTCTGTTGTAAAGCACGCAGGAAGCGGTAGAGCACAAAAGAACTGCAGGGCGAAACACGAGACGTAGTCGAGTGTTTCTCACTACTTCTTGAGTGATTCACCGCTTCCTGCGTGCTTTACTAAGTAGAGGCTTGTTTATTTGTTTTATGATATCCCCACACATTGGGGAGTGGAGGAGGAAAAGTGGAATCAGCGTGTATCTGTTCTCTGATAAAGCACGCAAAAATAAGTCAATCACAATCCTTGTTAGAACTGTTCAAATAATTTGATTGGCTAATGAGACAACAGCTGTCAGTCACAAAATAAACTTCACTGAGCTAACCTTTCGGTTTCAATTGGCTTTCGAGAAAAGACCGATCCCTTCAAAGTTCGATTTTCAGTTTAATTCTTAATAAGGATCTAAAGGTTTCTGGTCCAGAGGAATCCGGCCGCATCGTGGCTCATGAAAACGTGCACTTTTCCAATGGAAATTACGAACGGATGCTAAAGCGAAATGCTGAGTTGTATTTAAAAGAAGCTACAGTTATTTACGGCTTGCAGCCGCTTGCAGCAAGATATGCCCGACCTGGCGTCAAAGTTGGAAAGACTAGTCTGCTTCCTCTGGTTCTACTCTGAGGACAGGATAAAATTTCAGAGGAAGCTTTTAACTGATCACTCGTCTGTTGACTGTTGATACAAAATTGTCGAGGTTCACTTCGCTGAGATGACTGGAGATCGCTAGTAAGCAAACGAGCGTTACTACACTGCATGTGAGTGTTTTCTGAGCATTTTTACAAAAATAAAGCTCCGCATCATAAACATTGACAGTTCAATTGGTGTTTTCTGTCGTTGTTTTTGTTCTTAAGTATAATTTCTGCTATCGTAACAAATGTTATGTCTTTCATCGAAGCATTCGTTGGGTTGAGAATTTGTTTATTTCGCTAGCTGCGTGCTTTGTCGGAATCTAGCAAAACAGTGGCATTTACTGACAGTAATTCTTATCGTTATTGCGGTTACGATGACGATGAAAATGATGATAGCTCTCATCAATTGTGTAGTGGTAAGCCTATAAGTAGCAAGGAGATAGCGCCGTATGAATAAAATGAGGACTTGATATTTTTTTAACAATTTATGTTCTTAAGGTCTTTCTTTTATTTGTTCGTTTAGGTTACTGTTATAAAAAAGTCAGCTATAGAGCATTGCAAATCTGTCACAGATCCTCATTATAGTGTTTTGCATCCTCGAGGACATGGAAGGTTGGTAATTTTTTTAATTTCGGAGTAGATTGGGTAAGGATTCCCAATGTCATGTGATCTTCTATCTTCGTAGACACTCTCCCACATTTTGTTTTGTACACAGTTCGAGGGGTTCGATTTTGGAATTAAATCGGAATTAAACCCCTTTTTGAGGGGGAATAAATTATTTTCTGACAATGTCCACCCCCCTAAAAAAAATGGTGAGCAGGCGTTTCAGATCCTTGATCGTTTATAGACGTGTAACTTTAGAAAGAACGATCTCAGACAAACTGTCCTCATGTCAGAACAAAAATAATTATAATAATAATAATAATTATTATTATTATCATTATTATTATTATTTGTGTTCTAATGGTTTTTTGCGGAAACAACAGCAACTCGTAACTTGCTATCGCAACACAAGTTATAAAAAATGATCCTGCTTACAATATATTTCCCGGTTTATTAGTGGAAAGATATTGCTTACAAGCCACGCGAGAATGAAAAAACCTTAACAAGACAACAACAAAAAATGAATTAAATTAATCAATTAATTAATTAATTAATTAATGCTGACATAAGCATTGATTCACGCTGTAACTTTAAATTTCAGATGGTTCAATTTTATGGGGCGCGGCGATTATATCTTGTATAAGAATACGGAGAGGAACTTTGAGGTGGGTAGTACTTTATAGACATTTAAAGCTCAGATCAATTCAAAGGGAGTCTGGTCAACTATATCTAAATCAGCACGACGCACCAATATCAAACAAAGAGACAACAATTTTGGGCTCGGTATGGTTTTTAAGTATTCCCTTAATCGGTTCGATATGAAAATTAAACCAGTAACTGACGACTCACAAATGGACGAAATTTTGACTGACAACCGACATTTGTCAACCCTCATCCGGACCGTGGTGTGAGTCAAACATTTAACTTTAATGAAGCGGTTGAATGTCCATAAACTCGCAAACAAAGAACGAGGCCAATATCAAGCCATCTTGACCGAACAAGGTTGGTCAATAAAGGATTTAATATATGGCTTTCGGGGAAATTTTTCTTGCCGGACATGACGGGTAGTCGCGAGCGGGAAAGATAGCTCCATCTTACCCGCTCGGGTAGCCAATCACAGGGCACACTGCTCTGTAAACTCCACACATTGATGTTTCTATATTAGCTGTCGCATAATACACGTGATTGATCAGCACAATTTTTTTTAAAATAGGTTCAAACGAGACAGTGGCGTTGTGGCGGCGTACCTACTTGCAATTGTGGTGCAGTTGTAAGAGACCATAATGATGTTATTGAGTTCAACTGTTGCAACGACCTTCTTACACGTGACAGTACGACCCCAATAACGGTGAAAATACGGAGCAAAAAGTGTTTGTCACCAGGAATATCCATTAACAAAATGATAAATGGTAGAAATATCGACTACGAGGTGAGTGTCTATCGTAAGGTTTGATGGTTTTGAAAGTTTAACGATTTTGATGGATTATAAGAGCCCGTTTTTTTACTCTTTTGCAAAGATTTCAAAGGTGCTTTCTCTTTGTCTTTTATTACTCTCCTAAGCATTTTACCATTGGACAAGACACTTAAAATTTTTTTTTTGAAACGTTTAATAAATAGCCAACGAGTGATCAAGTACTTAGCAGAATTTGGGCGCTAGTAGGTTTAATGACGGTTTCTTTAACATCTACTCGTATGACTCCATCAGAAATTGGCTCTGATTAAACATTCATGAAAAGTAAAATAAAAAATCTGTAAAACGGAACAAAAGAAAGTGTAAAATTTTGCCTTTTTCAAATATATCTAACAAACAAAATTGACACTGAATCCGATTTATCCCTAGAAATCGACTGTGAAAATTTCATTATGGGTTGTGCGGTAGGTTGTCGAGAAATCTTGGATCAAAGACAGGTTTTACAACCTTGCGCGGGAATTGAACTGCGCATGCCTTTTTTTTTAAGCGCGAGCGCATGTGACGCAAAGGATCGAGCGCAAGAAAGCAAGAGTAAATTAAAACTTCTTTAACGGTTTGTCAAAATGTTGTCATATTTTATCGATCAATAGTAGTTTGAAACTATCACGACGCGTTTCGCGTTTCCGCGTTTCTCCCCGTTGTCTACAGGTACCTAAAATATTGGGCACCCGTCCCCGTTGTCAGTCCGAGAGTTAAATCGTTAAAGTGGTACTATGACGAAAATCACATAGACATTTTAAACATAAACAAGTAGTGTGTCCGAGAAGAGCTTAACAGTTTTGTTATCATCCCCAATATTAAAGGCTTTTCTGGCGTTCGATTTTCATATTTGCTAATGGTGCTTCATATGCATGATCCAGCAAGCATATACGCATGTTAGCTCGAGTTTGTGGCCTCGTTTAATGTTTTTCTTGCTGAAAATTACTAACATATTGAAATCAAGTGGGTGGGGAATGGAAAGAGCGAGTTGCCATGGAAACAAATTTTTTTTATAGTGGCAGGTGTGTTACCTGTAGAACTATTAGCCTACCAAGTTTCAATGGCTCTATTTACATTCCTGATATAATATTGGATTCAGTGTATCGCGTCATCAGAGATCTCATTTGTATATTTTATACATTTTTCAAACTTAAATATTCTGGAACTAATGCAGATATTTACAAACATTATTCTTTCCTGGAATTCCATGTGATACACCTGAAAAAATCAAGGGGTAAAAGTTTAATCTTAGTACCACTTTAAGAAGGGCCAATGTATGAGGCAATCATTACCATTGATAATATTCACGTGCTTATAACAATGTATGAATTTCTTACTTTTCAGGTGTTATTTCCATCTGGAGCCAAGGTTGCAATATTCAGAAACTTCTGGGGAATCGATGTCAACGTCTATACACCGAGGGCGAAAAATATAGCTAATGAAAAGGGACTTTGTTTGTACGACTGGAGTAAAAATGTAAATACATACGGAAGCAACTTAAGGTAAAACAAACATCATGGTCGTTAAAAGCAAACAAACAGGAAAGTGCTTCGTATAAAATACATACCCATAAATTATTTCCTAAATCAACCACGTTTCCTCAGAATTGATAGCCAGAGTTAACCTCGCACTCTATTTGGCTATCAATGCCAAACAGTTAGAATGGGAAATTAACATGAAATGAGGCATTTGACCAATATTCGGAACTTACAGCACAAAAGATTTCTTCTGTTTGCTTTCTGTGTTTCAAGTTATAACAAAGTTTCGACATAAAATCAGCGAAATTTGCGGCGCGATGTTCACTTTGTTACAAGATACGCCCTTATTTGTTTGCTCAAACTTCTTTAAAGTCATCTCAGTTCTGTAACATTGCATCAAAGGTAAAGGTTTACAAGAAGACCCAAATATCGCGACTTAGCGGCTGTCATACTCAAGACTGCAAAATAAGTCGCGTTGAAACGAAACGGACGGATCAGAATTGAGAACTTCACTGAAGTGATGGATGAGACCCAATTGTAACGTATAAAACTCTATAGAGTCCTACAAGCCCAATTTTACAGCTGAAATTTGTTTTCACTTTCTCTTTCATCGTCTGTTGTGCACTGAGAAATCTGTGGATGAGTTTGGTGGAGCAGCCAAATTTATGTGGCTTTGAGCGCCTTTTTTACCCAATCTTTCGTGAATATGATATTTGATTTGCTCTCTACATCGTCAACAAATGTATTTTTATATTGTAGAAGTGGCTAAGAAAATGCAAACTCAAGAGTTGATCATTGTTGTGTGCCGGTCGTTTG